GTGTGTGTGTGTGTGTGTGTGTGTGTGTGTGTGTGTGTGTGTGTGTGTATGTATGCTAGAGGGCATCAGGTGTCCTGAGACAGCATCTCTCACTGAACCTGAATTTAGATGTCAGTCCTACATCATTGGGGTTACATGTGCACACGGCCACAGCTGGCTTTTTAGAATTGGTACTTGGAATTCAGGTTCAGGTTCTCACATTTGTAATGCAATTGCTTTTATTCAGTGAGCCATCTCTTTAGCCCTGATTTAGCTATTTTTTTAAAAAAATAAAAAAGCTCCTGGATATCATTTCCATCAAAAATATCAACTGTGTTTTTTTCCTGATACTAAAGATTTCCTAAACTCAGTACTGTTTACCACTTTCCTAAAGCCTACAATGTTTGCTATGGTAGAAATGTTGATATGATTTCTGAATAACTTAGGAAATTCAGTAATACTTCAAGAAATCTCCATTAGAGATTTTAAGCATAAATATAACAAATAAATGCTCAAATGTTTGACTTAGAACTAAAACACATAGTTTCTTCTTAGGAACACTACATTGGGGTTCTCTGCAGGAACCAAACTGATAGAATGCATGTATGTACATGTATGTATATAAATACAGAGTATTTATTAGAGTGGCTTACAGGCTGCATGATCCAGCTAGTTCAACAATAGCTGTCTCCTGATGGAAAAGTTCCAAGAATCCAATTCAATGGTTGTTCAGCCCACAAGACTGATGTCTCAGCTAGCCTTCATTATGTCAGAGTCCTGAAGAGGTAGACTCTTAATAACCAGTGAAGGAATGCCTCAGCAAAAGGATATATGAACTTGCCAATGAGAACAAGGGCAAGCAGGCAAAAAGCCAAAGTTCTTGCCGGGCAGTGGTGGCTCACACCTTTAATTCTAGCACTCGGGAGGCAGAAGCAGGCGGATCTTTGAGTTCAAAGCCAGCCTCTTCTATAAGAACTAGTTCCACCACAGGCTCCAAAGCTACAGAGAAACCCTGTCTCAAAAAACAAAACAAAAGACAAAGTTCTCTCCCATGCCCTTCTTATGAATTGCCTTAAGGTGTGGCCTAGATTTAACGTGGGTTTTCCTATCTCAAATAATCCAACTAAGAAAAATGCCTCATGGGAGTGCACAGCTACTTGCATTTTAAGTATTTAAAATTTTAAATAATACTTAAGATATTAAGTAATACTTAAGTATTAATATTAAGTATTTAAGATTCCAGGTGTAATCAAGTAGACCACCATAAGCAGCCAAAAAAAATACATAGGAAGTTTTTAAAGTAGTATTGAAGTATAATTCTTGGTGTTTGGTTTGTCAGAACTGTTGAATTGAACATAACCCTATGCATATATATCTAAAAGCTGATACTTGATTTCACTGTTTCAGAGTTTACCTTCTGCCTCCTGAGAGCCAGCCTTTGCATGAGGTAGTATACTTCAGTGCTGCCCACACACTCCGTGAGCACTTAAATGCTGCTCCACGAATCGCCCTCCACACCGCACTCAACAATCCTTATTATTATCTTAAGGTAAGAAGGAAACTTGGTTCTCCCACAGTTAAGCTCAAGTCCCAGATATCAGCACCACAAAAATATTCAAAGTTAGCAGTTCCGTTGTAATGAAAGAAAGCTAGCAGCTCTGGGTTCTGCCGCTCGCATTTTCTAAAGAAAAAAAACCAAATTCTTAGATTTAGGTGAACCGACTCCCAAAAGTCCTCTGACCTACACACATGCATGCCCCCACACACACAGAAGTTTTTAAACAAATCATAGGCATAAAGCTTTACAATATAATGCCTTATTCTTGTGAAAAATGATTCCTATGTAGGTAGGTAACAACAGTGTGACAGTGAACAGGTAATAAGACCTAATGTAAAATTACAAATGCTTAAATGGAAAATTTAAAAAATTTTTATTTATATATTTTTTATGTACTCTGCATGCACACCTACAGGCCAGAAGAGGGCATCAGATCCTAATACAGATGGTTGTAGCCACCATGTGGGTGCTGGGATTTGAACTCAGGACCTCTGGAAGAGCAGCCAGTGCTCTTAACCTCTGAGCCATCTCTCCAGCCCCCTTAAATGGAAAATTTACACTGGGATTTCATCTTGGGTTTTTAAACCTAAGAGGCATCTACTCTGAGAGCACCTGTAGGGCTTTGCTGCAGAAACTCCTCAGGTGTACAATGACAGACATGACAGACATAGCTGCCTAAACCTACAACATTAGTAATTCCAGTTTCAAATGCTGAAAGCTACCTTTCTTATGACAGTTAAACACTGATATATTTTTTTTTTGGCAGATTATAAGGTTTATTGTAGATGGATAAGGTTGTTGTGCCTGCATAGTCATGTGTGCCCAGAAAGAGCAGAAGTCTGCCTTTCACAAAAGATGTTTTAGAAGGCACTCTTAAGTCAAGAGTGGTAGCACTGCATAGGCTCAGGCAAAAGGATTATCAAGTTCAGGGCCAGTTTGAACTTAGACTTGCAAAAAGTCAAGTGAGCAGTCACACAGCTCAGTGGATAAAGGGACTAAAGTGATTACCTCGTAATAAACCTAGAACCTGAGTTTCATCCCAAAGCCATATAAAGGTGAAAAGAGAACTGATCCCACAAAGTTGTCCTCTGACCTCCACATGTACTACACATAGCACATGCATGCCCCCACAACCTCCTCATATATATATATACACATAATAATTCTTAATTAAAAACATCTCCATAAAAATACCCCAAACTACGGCCGGCTCATGGCAAAGTAGCACATAAATGTTAAACGGCAATGGTTTTCAATGGTAGTGGTCATCAGGAGTTTCATGGGTTCGTATTTAAAGACTTGTTTTAATTATGTGTGTGGGCATGGGCTCATGTTGGCCCAATGCCCACAAGAGGCCCTGGAGCTTAAATTAGAGGTGTTGTGAGCTGCCTAGAGGAGGAGCCTGCAGCTAAGCCTTTTGCTATAGCAGCAGGTGCTCTTACCCTGAGCCTACTCTCCATCCTCGGTAATTTTGTATTTAAATAACAACAGTGCCTGGTTAGATGGTTCAGTCAGTAGCAAAAGCATTTGCCATTAATCCTGCTTAAACTCACTCTCTGAGACTCAAACTGGAGGGAAGGAAACCTAATACCTGCAAATTAGTCTCCAGTCCCCACCCCCCACTAAATGAATTAATTTTTAGAAATAACAAAGTTTTAATGTATAAATTACAAATTAAAATGTTTAGTGGTAGAGTTACAGAAAAAAACTGATGTAATTTTAGATGCGTTTTGTGTATGGGATTTTTAGAAATAACAAGTTTTAATGTATAAATTACAAATTAAAATGTTTAGTGGTAGAGTTACAGAAAAAAAACTGATGTAATTTTAGATGCATTTTGTGTATGGGATTTGTTTCTTAACATGGGTTTCAAGTAGGTTAAACCAATACTGAGTTTAGGGCTCACTGGTTGATTGCTTACAGCTCTTTTCTGGTGCCCTCTCTTGGCCTTTGCATATGCTTATACTTAAGGGACGTCCGTTCACATAGACATATTCATACACATAAACAAAAATAAATCTAACTGGGTTATGATGGCTACCCTGGCCATCAATAACCAAAAAATGTTTCCAAAAAATAAAAAAAGATAGTGTTGACAGCAAAGTCTTTTTCTTTGAGAGATAACTTTTACTTTCCTATTACCACTAAGGCCACATGATGATTGCTAGAATTGAATTTGAACAGTTGGAAGGAGCATTTCATTGGGTAACCATTCCCAGAGACTTCTAAACTAATTACAGCAAACTGAAATGTATTTTGGTAATCTCAACAAATAATAATGTATAATTAAGATTTAGGGAAAAAAACCTTGATGGAAGAATGACTTAGAGTTTGGCCAAGACTTAAACCCAAGTAAGAATACTACTGAAGTATGAAGAAAGGAAACTAAAAGATTCTACTTTCCAATTTGCTAAATTTAGGAATGTCTTAGTTTGGGTTTTCATTGATGTGAAGAGACACCACGACAACGGCAACTGTTATAAAGCACACATTTAATTGTGGTGGCGGCTACAGTGTCAGGTTAAGTCCATCATCATGGCAGAGAGCATGCTGACATACAGGCAGGCATGGTGCTGGAGCTGAGACTCCTTCCATCTTCATAGGCAGGCAAGAGGAGTGACTGGCTTGCCAAGGGAAGCTTGGGGAAAGAAATGTCAAAGCCCACCCTCACAGTGAAGGACTTCCTCCTACAAGGCCACACCTAACAGTACCACTGTCTTTTAGGGGCCATTTTCTTTCAAACCACCTCAGGAAGTTTGGCTAATCTTTTTGCTTTTAATCATTTCTAAAAGGTTCACTTTTAATCTGCTGTTTTTAGAATGAAGCACTGAAAAGTGAGGAAGGCTGCATTCCAAATATTGCCCCCGACATCTGTATAGCATATAAACTGCACCTGGAGTGTGGCCGGCTAATTAACCTTGTCGACTGGTCAGAGGTAGGTCACACAGAGAACAACATGCTAGTAGTTCAACCGCTTAAGGCAAATTTCTTACAACTTTTGTTTTGATTTCAATTTTTATTTTTTAATTTTTGTTTGGGAAACAAATTTTGTTACACTTCAGAAGTTCCTTGGGAAGTAGCATCTTAGCAGTCTGTATTCATGAGCTCCTGTTCTTATCTTGCATTCTTTAAAAGCAAACAAAGACTCCAGTCAGTCTGTGCACTCCACAGAATACAGGGTGTAATGAGTGCCCGTTGTATAACAGGAGAAATTCCAGTCAGGAAGAACATTTCAGGAAATGCCCAGCAAGGTAAAGGACAAGTGCTGCTATCCCGAGAAGAGTAATAGAGATCTTAACTATTTGACCTTGTCAACATTAAAGGATGTGCTGAATTAGCCTCTAACCAAGAAAAATATGCATCTTCCTGGAGTAAGACTGACAGTAGAGGAGACAACGACTTTCTTTGCTTTTTATTTATTTGTTTTTTTATTTTTACTTTTTAATTTTTTTTGGTTTTTTGAGACAGGGTTTCTCTGTAGCTTTGGTGCCTGTCCTGGAACTAGCTCTTGTAGACCAGGCTGGCCTTGAACTCACAGAGATCTGCTTCCTGAGTGCTGGGATTAAAGGTGTGCGCCACCACCGCCCAGCTGCTTTTTTAATATTTAGCTAGCTATGTTTTTGCTGTTCTGCTTTAGTTCTCTAAAACGAGCTTATAAAGAGCCAGTGTTGTTATATTAGTATGGTTTTGAGAACTTGAAGTCTGACATGAAAAGGATGTGCCAGTTATCTACAGCAGCAGTACTAATGCCTGATTAGTTACAGAGCAATCGCAAAGCTACAGAAAAGATGCCTAGCAACAAGTTTTCTTTTCTTGTGTACTCAAAAGGCTTTTGCAACAGTTGTGACAGCTGCTGAAAAAATGGATGCAAAGTCTACAAGCTCAGAAGAAATGAGTGACATAATCCAGTATCCTTTTAAAACCAGGTCTATGGTGTCTTAGTAAAAGTTTTTTAAGTTTCTTTTTTCTTGAGCCTAAGAGTCCAAGCCCCAGCACAAAAAGTATACAAAAGCCCACATCTAGTCATTCATAAAGATGTATTCTTCTCAACCATACCATTCTACAACCAAATGTCCTAAATTAATCTGAGATCAAACCTAGAATTCGGGGGCTGGAGAAATGGCTCAGCGGTTAAGAGCACTGACTGCTCTTCCAAAGGACCCGGGTTCAATTCCCAGCACCCACATGGCAGCTCACAACTGTCTGAAAATCCAGTTCCAGGGGATCTGACACCTTCACACCAGTGCACATAAAATAAAGATAAATAAATCATACAAATTAAAAAAAGAAAAAGTTGGCCATGGCTAGGAATGGTGGCTAGCCTTTAAAAAAAAAAAAAAACCTAGAATTCAATTTATATTCAGTCTTTCAATGTATTTTTAAAAGACCGGGAAAGAGTCAGTTTTATATAATGCTGGGGTTGCTGTAGGTGTGTGCCATCCCACACAGCTCCATTTGAACTTTATTGACAGTGTATTCTAATGGCATTTAATATTTTCCAATAGGATTATTTAAAATTTAGGGAATATTATTTCAACTATCTATTTCAATTACCAGTTACTGTTTTAACTTTGAAATTTTAGCCTTCTTGTGGAAAAACCCTAATTTTTCTTAGCTAGACTCTTCAGTGCCCGATTTGTTAGAGCTGTTTCTGAACTAGAGCTCTTGGGCTTTATAAAGCCTACAAGACAGAAGACTGACCATGTGGCCAGGCTGACATGGGGGGGCTGCTAAGAAGAAGTAAGTGAAGACAGGTGTTCCACATCTGACGTAAGGTGAAAAAGAAACCTGGCATATAACACGCTACCAGAAGAAACTACTGCTGAGCTGAGTTTAACCAAAAAGTGCACTGCTAACCTGAAATCAGTGCATCAAAACGTCTTTGTAGTACTTCAACTATGATCAACAAATGCACAAATGACTAAAAGCTTTTACAAAATGCAACTATACTTGCTACAGTTATTACTAAATTCTAAACAAAGCATTGAGTGTATAGTGTATAAGTCACACACTTTCTTATCCAGAGTAAGTTACTTACACTTAGCAATACTCATGCCTTTCTCCAGATACTTGCACTCCTCACACTATGCGTATTGTATAAAATGAAAAACAGGTGTTTTTCTTGCTGTTTGGCTTTATATTTAATGTCAGAAAATATTCACATGAACAGTTGAAGAGACCCACAGCACAGCCAGTAAAGGCCTTCACAAAGTGCACCCAAGCTTACAAAACTCGGAAATATAACTCTTTAAAAAGCCTTCACAGCTGGTGGTGCTGGTGCATGCTGTTAGTCCCAGCACTTGGGAGGCAGAGGCAGATGGATCTCTGTGAGTTCGAGGACAACCTGGCCTATAAGAGCTAGTTCCAGAACAGGCTCCAAAGCTACAGTAAAACCCCATCTCAAAAACAAACAAACAGAAAACCTGAAGTTAGAGTCAGCTGTTGATTCCCACAGATGTGGGTGCTGGGAACTAAACTCAGGCCTGCTCTGAGAGCAAAATTCATCTTAATCCCTCAACACAGATGTATGTATCCAAGATAAAACTGAGAAACCAACTCCCCAGGCTGGCTTCACTGTTGGGCAACCCAGGCCTGCTTGCCTGCCTCAAGCTTATGATCTCCAAGTACTGACATTATAAAGAAAGGCATTTACCATTATGCCTAGATCAGAAAATATTTCTGATTTTTCTGTAAAATACAGAGGCTGGTCTTAACACTGTTAACACTGGCACATGTTCTTTTCCTAGGTATTTACATTTGTACATGCCATATGCATGTTGATTTTTCTCTGCCATCTAAGATTAGGAGCAGCACAACAGAAACTGTTCTCATAATATCAAAAATATTTGTCATACTAAACCCTTAAAATGTGCAATAATTACTTGATGTTCTCTAAAATTCAGCCCTTAGTTGAGGAAAACTGAAACCTCAACAAGCTTAGAATTAGGGCATTCATTCTGATTATTTTTCTTTTGTTTCTAATGAAAGACTAACCTGAAATCTTAAAGTAGTTTGTTAAAAAAATATCAAGCATGTGCTGTGTATCTCCTACTTCCGAGATCCTTGTCTTCCTTGTACTTTAGCAAGTAGAACACTACTTGAGGTAGAAAACAAGTAACAATGGGGTAAGAAGTAGGCTTGTCATTGTAATCTTAAAGAATGGTCAGAGCAAATCTCACTTGAGCAAAACTACAGAGTCAACAAAAAAAAAAAAACCTACCCACCCAACCCATGAAAGTGATGAGTGCACTCACTAGGCAGGAATAGCAAAATCAGAACAGCAGTCAGAAAGGGTGAGGTAGCTCAAGCAATAGGAAGTGAATGAGAAGGACAAGAGTACGGGTCATGTCTCCACAGATTTATTTTCTTAGGTAGAAAGCAACCTAAACAAAAGATAGACATCTTTAAGTGGTCAGTACCTACTGTGAGAAAACAGTAAGAGGAGTGATGAAGGAAAGCAGTAACCTGATAGTTGACCACTGAGATGATCCAGCAAGGCAAATCTTAGACTAGGGTTAAAAGGAGAGACACTACAGGTCGATGTACATGACAAGCCTAAGATCCTTTCTGCTTAAAAACCAGAAGCATTGCTCTATCGGGGCCTGCTGTGGTTTGGTTACAGACCAGAGGACCATGTGTGAGGCTTAGTCGTGGAATGTCAAGGAAGGAAAGCCTAAAGGAAACTTCTCATGACCCCTACGAAAATGTAGAATCCAACTGCCGGTCCTTTTTACTCTCTCGCTCCCTGGCTGATGAGTGGTTAAGGTCTACACTGCCCTCAGCCATATGCTGCTGCCTCTTTGTAGACCAAGCAACAAGGACAACCGACCACTGAAACCTTCAATGCTGAAATAAAATAAACTTCCTGAGGATTTCATTGTAATTATGGAAGGCTTAACTTACTAAAAGAAACATTAGCAGCAAAAATGAGTTTGGCTTTGGATATAAATTAGGGGATGTCCTGTTAGGCATTGAAGTGAAATGTCACCCAGTGAGGTGGCAAATCTTGTTATAATAGAGATCAGATCACCAAAATCAATATTGAAAAGAGAAGCAAGGATCTCAAACTCTATAGCTTTGAGGTTTATGCTTATTTATAGTTAAAATTTCAGGAAAACAGTAAAAGTTAATATAAGAGCAGCCGGTGAAGAAGTTGTGGAATATCTTGGTGTTTTAAGCTCAAATGTTATTTATTCATTGATTGGATTTCAAGATAGAGATCTTAGGTAACTTTGTAATACCAGATGACCTAACCAGGTGTTCAAACTGAACAGCAACAGGGGAAGCCAGTCACTATTACTTTATAACACTGAAACCATAGCACCACCTTATATTCTCACACAAGTTCAGGGGCTGGAGGTATTGTTCACTAGTTATAAGAACACTTGCTGTGGGCTGGAGAGATGGCTCAGGGGTTAGGAGCGTTGCCTGCTCTTCCAGAGGTCCTGAGTTCAATTCCCAGCGGCCACATGGTGGCTCACAACCATCTGAGGTGGGGTCTGGTTCCCTCTTCTGGCCTGCAGGCATGCACGCGGACAGAGTGTTGTGTACATAATAAATAAATAAATAAATATTTTAAAAAAAAAGAACACTTGCTGTTCTTCTAAAGGATCAGAGTTTGGTTTATACCAACCATATCAGGCTCTTCAAAACTACCTGTAACTCTAGCTCCAAGAGATCCACCACCATCTTTCTGGTCTGTGTGGGTCCCTGCACACACACATAAACACCTAAAACTTTAAACCTGCCATCTGGTTTATAGCTTGTAAAGGATGTAACAGACTTAGTCTTTCCAGAAGCTTAGAAGTTGATTGAATCCTGGGGGTAGGAGGTAGGCTTAGAGGAATAGAGCTAAAAACATTCAGCAAATGAGGAGCTATGAATGCAGTAGATACTCTGCTTTGGACTGATAGCACTGAGGTTACAGAGAAGCATACAAGATCTGGCATTAACAAGTACAACTTTTTGAAAACAATTTATAGCAGCTTATACTTGAAGGAAAAATTCAACTTCTATGAATGTTTTCCTAGCCAGTTGTCGAGGGCTAAATTTGAAAGATGTGATCTTCTTGGCACAATATATAGGGAGGGGAAAGTTTAACTGGCACCTAACGAGAGGCCAATGTTAACACTCTACAATGCAGATATATCCTGAGTGCCAATAGTGTTGAGACTGAAAGGCTCTACTAGGGCGAAATTTGTTCAGTTTACAGCCAGCCACTGTATTACGACTTGTGTTTCTCAAACACTAATGGACTTGCAAACTGCCTGGGATACTTGTGAAGGCCCTACAACACTTTGGCTGCTTGCTTTTAAATGGAATGCAATTAAGTTAAAAAGATAAGATCCTGTTTTCAGTGAATGTATTACAAATGAAACAGTATGTTTAAGACTAGTCCAATGACTAGAAGTATGCTACTACACTTCAGAAGGGGCCAGAAAGATAGCTCAGCAGTTAGGAATACTTGCTGCTCTTACTGAGGACTACAGGAGTTTGACTCCCAGCCTCCACGCAGGGAGTCTTCTGGCCTCAGGTACCTACACACATGCTTATATAAATAAAACTTTTTTTAAAACTCAATAGAATTCACTGAGCAATATCTTTTTTGGGGGGGGTTCCCTCTCATACTGACCAGACTAGCCTTGAACTCCTGACCCTCCTTCCTCTGTCCCCTCACTACCACGATTACAAGTGTATGGCTAGCAGTTTCAGCTTGCTCTAAGAAAGGTACTTGAAGAACCATGAATGAATGGAAAGTGTGTTAATTCATTCAAGTGATGTTAGTGTTTTGAAAATACTTAATGTTTTGTGTATGTGTGTGTGCCTGAGAGTGTATGTGTATACTATGTGCACCCTGAGACCTTTGAGCATCTGATGGTGAGCTGCTGTGTGGGTGCTGGGAACTAAACCTGGTTCTTATGTAAAAGCAACAAGTGCTCTTAACTGCTGAGCCTCTTTCCAGCCCCTTTAATGTTAATTTTGTCGTTGCCACCCACCTAGGATTTCCTAAGTCTGGCAAGGTTTGTCTAGATCAGGTTGGCCTGTGGGCATGTCTGTGGAGGGCTGAATTGCCTTGACTGATTAGGAAGAACCAACCTGAAAGAGAAGTGGCACCATCCCTTAAACTGTAAGAGAAAGGTACAGTACTGTGCATCCATTGCTCTCTGCTCTGACCTGGATGCATTTCCTATTGTTTTGACTTCCCCAGTGATGGATTATAACTTGGAATTGTGGGCAAAACTACACTCTTTCTGCCCTAAACTGTCTTGCTGGGTATATCAACTTCAACTAGAGCAGCCATGCTTTCATGTATCACATCATTCAAAAACATTAAAATTGGAATCAAAGGTAAAAAATTCTACAGCTGTTGGAGATTTTGCTATGCAGGCTTGCTGTACGACAGCAAGTTACAGAAGCAATTCTGAATCAGAACTTAATTCTTGGAAACAGCATTTAATAAAAGGTAAACCTTACCAGAAAACTAACTTTATTGAGTTCTAGAAAATACTTATATTTAAAACACTACTTTATTCAAATACTACCCATGTGTACAATTCAAAAACAAGCAGAATAGAAGTAAATGTTTTATTTTTCCAACTAAACTCCAGTGCTACAAGGGCAGTAAAACAATGATACACTGGGGGTGGGGGGGTGCAGCAATAAACATTTGTTAAAAAGACTGATAGAATAAATAGAACTACCAAAAAATAATAATAAAGGAAATCATATAAACCCATTCTGAAACCCCAATGAAAGTCCTGAAATACAGAAATGCCCTCCTCCTCCACTATTTCACAGAAGTACTGTAGACTAACTGCTTAATTGTCCTGGGATTACATTCTAAATTATTAATAACTGGTTACAGCTTGGATGTAGTGCACAATTAAAATCACACTAACTTCATCTGACGTGTCATTCTACAGCTTTATTTACATAACCAGTGAAGGGCATGTTCTAGATGCCAACTTTAATCCCTTTCGAACATTAATATAAAGAAGCCAAATTGTAATGATACAGCAAAACGAGGCCACTGGTATTAATACAAGTAGCAAAGGTCCACATCCAGGTGGTAATGACATCACGGAAATTTCCAAAACCAATTGCTGCTGCCTAAGAGTGGTTGCCACTGACGAAAGCTTGAAATAACCTGTATTCACAGATGGGTACTGGCATTGTTGCACGTCATAGTTGGGACCTCCTGCAACAACTCAACAAGGAACAGGGCATCCCACAAATGCAAAAAGCGTGATTCATGAAACATCTGGAGGAGAAAAGGAGTATTAGTGCAAAGAATGAGACAAAATTAAAACATGTAAGATAATCCATTCATAACATCACCCCTAGGTGTATTTAAGTGACCAAGAGTCGCAGCATTTTACTTCTGTTTTAAACCAACCTTATTGCTAGGGTTTTTTTTTACCCTAACACTAACATCAATACATTTTTATCAACTCTTTTTAAATATGAAAACATGATCATTTCAGTTTATAGTTCAAAGATCAAATACTTACAACTAGCAGGCTGTTCTCCATATCGCCGCATTATCTGATCATGCGTAAACTTCACAAATGCATCATATTGTTCTACAAATAAAGATGTGTCAATTATATGATTTGCAAATAGCCTATGTATCTGAAAATATAAAGGTACGTAAAGGTACTCTAACACCTTCACCCTTCCCATAACCTCAGTAGTAATTGTAAACAGTTCAAAGGAATGTTTTCCATGGAATACAACATAAAAATTTAAATTCACTAATACTACAGCTGATCAACATGACTAGTTCTTCCCTAGGGCCATGAAAGTGAGGTGTGAGTTTTAAGAATGCTGATTTCCTTTTTTTTTTTTTGTATAATGCTCTGGTGTCATAGACAACACTGTGTCAATGTTTAGAAAGTACATTCACCAGCGTAAAACATGGTGGGAATAATTCAGTTCATACAACAGTTTCTTTGGTTTGGCATTTTGAATAAGAATGGACCCAACAGGTTCATATATTTGAACATTGAGTTTCCAAAGAGTGGAACTCTGAAAAAATTAGAAGGATTAGGAGGTGTAGCCTTGTTGGAGGAAAGTACACCTAGAGCTCCCCATTGGCAACACTCCAATATTTAGTGTTGAACAATTTCCCCATCAAATTTTATTTGATTACCTTACATCGCTGACCGTTGTGGAATATTTGTTTAACTAGGCAAAGATGTGTTACATTTGTTTATGCTGCATTTGTTTAAATATGTAATCCGTTTTACCTTGCCTGCCTAAGGCACCTGATTGGTCTGTTTAAAAAGATGAATAGCCAATAGCTATGCAGTAGAGAGATAGGACGGGATGGAGGGTGAGATAATAAGTAGGAGGGTGAATCCTCCTACTTACTGGATCAGGAGAGAGAAGAGCATGAAAGAGAAAGCCTGGGGGGCAGCCAAATAGCCAGAGTAGGAGCCACTTCATACAGAATCAAAGAGGTAAAAAGTCCTGAGGCAAAATGTAGATGGAGAAACAGGTTAAGTTATAAGAGCTAGTGGGACAAGCATTAGATAAAGCCGAGCTTTCATAACTACTAAGTCTCTCATGACTTGGGAGCTGGTTAGTGACCCAAGGTTTCCTAAGCCCACATCTAGGCCTTCTCTCTCACTAGGGGTCAGGATGTTATTGCTTCAACAACTCTCTGCAGGCTGCCATAATCGACTAACCTCTAAAACTGAACAAGCTCTCAGTTAAAAGCTTTCATGATGTCTCTTCCCAGCAATAGAACTGTGACTAAAGCACTGGGATATTCTAAAATAAATTCATTTGTTACCTGCAAGTTTTGTGTTCAGTATTTCTTCATATTCTTCTCGAACTTTCTCTTCCCGTTCTTTCAACAAACGTTCACAGATCATCCCAACCTGCCTTAGAGTAAATAAGGGCTGTTCTTTTTTTAATGGTGAGGATGTTGCAGATGAAGTCCCTATGTATAACATAAATAAAACAGCACCTGATTTAGAACCATAACAGAATACCCTCTGAAGGCAAGTTTCATTAGAACTGTCCCATGTCCTTTAAAATTTATTCTTTATGATAAACAGGTCCGACTAGTAATTCAATCAGCTGTGACTCTGGAAAAACAGATGTTATCCAGAGGAAAAGCCTAAAGATGAATGGAGAAAACCTCAAAACAAAATCATTGTAATGATGGAGCTCATTACAAAACTTTTAATATCCTCCCAGCAAATACCTGCTTAGAACGTTTAGTGGCTCATTTACAAAATTAGCTACAAAAGAAATATAACTCTTATTTAAAGCTTCAGTTTAAAATTAGATTAATACTATAAAAGACATTTGTTTTATTATCAATTGTTTATATTTTAAGGCCATACAGTAAAGCCTCACAACCAGATTATTCCACCACTTCAATATTCCTCATTTTCCAAACGCTTTAGTGTCCTATTAAAGAATCATGTCTAAAAAAGAGAGAATTATTATTGCCCCCCCAAAAGTTGCTGTAGGGAAAATTCTGGAATGTAGATACTTAATTTAAAAACATAACTGATTCTAAGTTTTGAATAGTGATCATAATCTCATTCGTTAACATAACTCACATAAGTTCACTCTTAAAAGTGCAACAGAACCATAAAGTTATCAACTAATGCAGCTATATCCAAAAGCAGTTGCACCACCAGTGTCTGTCAGTTTCAAATTAGGAAGAATATTTCTTCCACGCTTTCGTAACTAAAAAGTTTTAAGAGAATATGTTAAGACAGCGAGCGAAGATCTGTATTAAAAACTTTGCGAATAGGGTATCAACATATCTCTAACAAATTGACTCGTGACCAAACATTCAGAAAGTCCATTTTTGTGACTTCTTAAAGGAATCCTATCATGATTATTTCTTTGAATTGTGTACTTTTCTGTAACAGTTTTTCATTAATGCCACCAGTTAGGCTAGTCTGGGGGTGGGGGGAGAGCACATCTATATTTTATGGTTCTGAGTTCTGTCTGAAAGATAACAGTCACTAATAGTATCAAATAATGAGATACATCATAGAAAAATATTTCCTTAGTTGTCCTCTTTAAGGATCATTTAAACTACTTTGACGTATATACATGCAGACAAAAGCATGAAAATACATAAAATTGGGTGTTTTGAAAGTTTTTAACGGAAGTTACAAGTCATTATACTTACGCTTTAGGGCTGCTAATAAAAGTGGCTGTCTGGTTGCTGGGAATCCAGGTGCTGATTACTTTAATATTATAACTAGCATAATTTTTTAATCTTAGAGAAAAACAAGTTCTTTAAGTCACTATGGGCATTTGCATCCTTTCTTCTCTCATAATTTCTCACACAGCATTTCTTTCACTTACTAAAGTTTCTTATTGGGGCTGGAGAGATGGCTGGGTGGTTTAAGAGCACTGACTGCTCTTCCAGAGGACCAGGGTTCAAGTCCCAGCACCATATGGCAGCTCATAAATGTACTTAAATCCTGGGCGATCTGACACCTTGACAACATTACACATAAAATAAGGCTTAAAAAAATATAATTTCTTATTACCTGGTGATGCTGGTCCACTGATGAGAAATGCATGTGGCTGTGAATCAGAACTACAACCCGGGTCTGTCTGCTGAAAACTAGCTTCTAAATGTCTTCTCTTCTGCATACGTTTATACTCCTGTTTTATGTTGTACAGAATTTGTTCTAAAAGGAAAAAGTACAAATTTGGAAAGATCTAAATTTTCATGCTATATATATATAATCTGAAATATTTCTTTCAAATAACAAGTGTCCCCCCACCTGCCATGAACAATTTCCTTGAACACAGTTAACAGGGGCACTTTTTTAGAAGTAGTATATCCATCCAACCCTCTTCTGGCCTCTTCAGGCACATACATGCAGCATACACTCCCATACACACATAAAATGAATCCTAAAAAATAAACAGCCCACCTGAAACCTAACAATTCAAAGTCAAATCCTGTTGAGCACTAACTAGTAAAAGCTAAACTTAAGCTTTTTACTCAAAACAGTGGTCAGACAGTCTGATTAAAACACATTTACTTAGAGAACTACTTAAATTAACAGGCATATCCAGTCGTTAGAAGGGAAGACTGTGCACATTCCAGCACAGGCCAGTGAAAAGTGACCACAGATCTAAAATAACAACGTACAAGGCAATTAATACTTACTTCACCATGCATAAAACTGTCACTGCCTTAGGTAATATGAAGCACAGTGAAACCTGGAACTATTTCAGCACTAACAGCAAAGCATTCTGAATCTCAAGAATCACTGCACTACAATGCAGTTATCTTTAACACAGCCACAGTTAAAATCATATCCAGCATATTATTTTTGAGCCAATACGATTCACTGTATAGAGATTTCTAATTGAAAATAGAAAATAGGAACTTTGGGGGTGGAGAGATGGCTCAGAGGTTAAGAGCACTGGCTGCTCTTCCAGAGGTCCTGAGTTCAATTCCCAGCAACCACATGGTGGCTCACAACCATCTATGAGATCTGGTGCCTTTTCTGGGGGGCAGGCATACATGCAGACAGAACATTGTATCCATAATAAAGAAATACATTTTTAAAAAATCTAAAAAAGAAAATAGGAACTTTGATCTAACCAGAAGATGCCTGAGGTTTCCACTCCCCTAGTCACCTACCTCCACACTTCCTCACTAACCCCTTTAGCTCTGTGTGAAACTAAATCCCAAAAGGTTTATTGAAAGCAGAAGTAAACAAAGTGAAAAGTAGCAACAAACAGGCAATAAAACAATGTACAAATCAAAGCATTAACTTCTATTTTCAAGACTTATACACAGTAACAATCCTATTCAATATTTAATACTGGTGCCTTTCATTTTTAATCTTCAGTAGTCTTTTTTCTTTGTCTAAGAAAATATTCAGAATTTTAAAGGATCATTTTATTTATTTTTTGGTTTTTATTTCTATTTCGTTTATGAATCTTTTGCCTGCATGTGCATAACTATACCATATGCATGTAGTGCCTGTGGAGGTTAGAAGAGGGCATCTGATCTCTTGGAACTGGTGTTAAGGATAGTTCTGCATGCTGGGAATAGAACCTGGATCCCCTGCAAGAGTAGCAGGTACTCTTAACCACTGAGCCATCTCTCCAGCCCTCCCTCCCTCCCCTCTCTGACTTTAAACATTTTAGAAGCTGCCAATTCTATTTTAACCAACAAGAAAAAATAAACTCAAATGAAAAATGAATCTAAATGAATCCAATCAAGGTATCAGTTAATTGTCATTTAAACAAAGGCTCTAATACTGATAGCACATGATCAATGTTATGGAGTCGATGATCTAACTTTATTTAGACAAGATCCAGGCAGCACAAGTTATAAACCACAAGTTTGGTTCCATTTATTTCAAGATAGAAATTGAACAGTTTTGAAGCTGATGATGGCACCCTCCAAAATTTTCCACACATTAGTCTACCATGCACATTACTTCTGTTCAGATACCTCACTGACTTAAGCTCCTACGATACCTGTAGGAGTGTGTAAAGTGTACTAAAGTCCTTCTATATATCAGGAAAATACTTATCCACTGATTCTGGATAGAAAATACTTCTATCCATTCTTCTTTATTTTTTTAGTTTTTCGAGACAGGGTTTCTCCGTAGCTTTGGAGCCTGTCCTGAAACTAGCTCTTGTAGACTAGGCTTGCCTGGAACTCACCGAAATCCGCCTGCCTCTACTTCCCAAGTGCTGGGATTAAAGGCGTGCACCACCACTGCCTGGTTCCAGTCATTTTTTATTAAACAAATTATATGGAGTTAAGTATTTATCTAAGAATATGTAATATCAACATTCTGTTGCCAACACAATTTACAGTATATCACATAAAAACCCAAAGCTTTATTTGCATTATCATTTATGTACTCCAGTTTTAAGGCAGCTTTCATGAAGCTTAAACTGAATTTGCAGGGGCCCCTTAGAGCAAAACACAACTGTATTCTTGACATGTTATATCCCTGTGGGTTATACCCTCTTTATAAACTTTAAAGCCTGTATTACTCTTTTACCATTAAAAGAAAAGTGAAGGCACCAGCAAAATCTACGTCTAGGCATTTTCATTCTAATACCTAGTAAATAACAATAAGCAATAATAAAATTTGCTTCCTTATAGCTAAGTTTTTCGGTAAGCCAGCAATATCCTTTTGGAAAGTTTTGTTTGGTTGGTTGGTTTTTGTTTTCTGAGACAGAGTTTCTCTGTGTAGTCTTGGCTGTCCTGAAACTCAGTCTATAGACCAGGCTGGTCAAATCGCCTGCCTCTGCCTCCTGAGTACTGGGATTAAAGGTGTGACACCACTGCCCTGCCCTTTAGGAAAACTAAACAAGCTAAGTAAAGGTGGACAGAAAGCCTTATTTTACTGCTTATTTAAATCCTAGGCACAGCGAACAAGATCACAAATAAGAGAACAAAGCACAGGACTCTTTTTAAAAAAAGAAAAAAAAAGAGCTGAGGGGCTGGAGACATGGAACAGTGCTAAGAGCACCTGCCCTGGAAGTATGATAACCTGATATGATATGATAATTCCTAGCATCCAGGTAGAAAGCATGCACCTGTAAACCCAGCACTGGGAACAGAGGCAGGAGGACCCAGTTTCACTGGCCATCCAGCCTAGCTGGCATGAACTTTCAGTTCAGTTAAGAGATCCTAACTCAAGGCAAACATCTTAGAGGAGAGGAACATGGGGAAAAGCAAGTGAATCTTAGTCCAACTCGCCAGTCATAAAAGCAAAGTAATTTATAGTTACTTAAAGGGTTTACAGTAAGCTGCTGAAGTATCTCAAGTTATCATTGGCTTTATACTACCAGTGAAATAACAGAATCTGACCTTGCAGTGGTTACATTTTTTCTTCCTCATGTAGATGCTAAATGAATGAATGCTTCTTAGACAGAAATGTTACATAATGCAAACTTGGAATCTAACTTAGTTTGCAAAGCAGAGGGGATAAGACTTTTTTTAAGGACAGCATAATTAAAGTTGAAATACGAATCCATTTCCTATTCATGTGCTCAGGCATTCTTCTTCCCAAACAAGCTACATAGAAAAATGGTGCCAATACTTGTTAAGTCATGTTTCACACACTAAATAACATCCTATTTGACTCTAGTACTTTATTATTTTTAAAAAATGTTTATGTGTAGCTGGGCGGTGGTGTCACAAGCCTTTAATCCCAGCACACAAGAGCTAGTTCCAAGACAGGCACCAAAGCTATAGAAAAACTCTGTCTAGGAAAAAGAAAAGAAAACAAAACAAAACAAAAAAACCCCAAACAAACAAAAAGTTTATGTGTCTGTCTTTGCACATGTGTGTGGATGCCCAGAGGCCAGAGATAACCCTGGAGCCGGAATTACAGGTAGTTGTAAACTGAATACCATGGTTGCTGGGAACAGAACTCAAGTTCTCTACAAGAGCAATAAGCACTCTTAACTGCTGGACAATCTCTCTAGCCCCATATTTTCTTTTTTAAAACAAGTATGAATGTGTGGCCAACATTTGAAAAACCATCTCTGATTTCTCTCCTAAGATGATAATCATGTGATTGATGGCAAACAAATGCATTTTTCTATAGTGACTACTGTAAAAGAAGAATTAAGACCAACTCTCCACAAGAAAATACTGATTGGAATCTACAGATTAATTCAGTATCTAAGGTTAAGAGTGACTGAGGAAGACTCCAAATGTCAATTTTGAACTTAAGCTAAGACATAATGCAAACATGTATACATACATGCACACTTAGCATACACACACTAATGCTCCACTCCCCTGCCACACACACACACACACACACACACACACACACACACACACACACACAGAGAGAGAGAGAGAGAGAGAGAGAGAGAGAGAGAGAGAAATATTTATAAGGAGATTTTACATAAATGCTGGCTTTTTGTTAGTATGTTAGTAGGGTATCCATGGGGAAGATCAGACAATAAAAGGCCCAAGTCCCCACAGCTGGAATCAAGAGAAATGGTCAGGATTAAAGAAATAAATGAGTGAGTCATCTGTGAGTAAAAACTTAAGTCATGTGACTCCTTTGGGAACTATTAAGTGAGGTGGCCATGGAGCTGAAACTAGAACTAAAGAAATCCTGTATTTGCTGGGTGGTGGTGGCACAGGCCTTTAATCCCAGCACTCAGAGGCAGAGGCAGGTGGATCTCTATGAGTTCAAGGCCAGTCTGGTCTACAAAGTGAGATCCAGGACAGTCAGGGCTGTTTCGCAGAGAAACTGTGTCACAGGAGAAATAAATCCTAAGATTTAATGTTAGAAGAGCACAGAAAGAACAGCCAAAAAATTTCAAAACATGAAAATTAAGTGGCATTAATTCACATCACTGCTGATTGACTTGGAAGTTGTCTAAGGCACAAATGCAAACAGGCATCTGAAAGCTTTCAGTTTCCTTTAGAGCAGGAGCTAGAAGAAATGTTTCAGCTGAAGACCCGAAAACAGCAAAGTCAAGGAGGTCTGTGGGTGGGGGTAGATAGGAGGACAAGGTTCCTTTGGCAAAGAAAATTCTTCCTTGACTTTTATTAACTCAGTTAATCCACAAGGATATTATAAAAGACGAGACAAGGACAAAGTTGGTAATGCTGGTACTAGTAAACTAAAGAAATTGCCATGTTATGACCTCATTTTTTTTCTGTAGAAAGACAAGA